CGTAATTCTTTAATTACCATATTTAAACAAGATTATTATTTCAATAATTTCTGTCATCATTAACCAAAACAGAATTTTAAATCTGTAGCAATTATTTAAATGCTCTCATTTAAACACGTGTGAAGCATTGGTTTTAAATATAAATTTTACCAATAAGATAAAGAATATTATTACTTTTCCAGCTGTTATATATAACACGGGAAAAGTATGGACATTAACCAAAAAAAGATCCCCAAGAATTTCACATTTTCGGACTCGGAGGACTTTGAAACGTCCAGCAATACAAAAAATTTGGATTTTTTTTTCTGTATATGTGGATGTTTGTATGTAAGGGGTGTACGATTTTGTTTACCCAATTTAAAGCTTAACAACTCGTGTGCCTTTTTTCGAAACGTTCTGAAATTTTGCAGGGAGATTTGTGTATCATGGGCATTGATGCTGTTAAATTTTGGGGGTTAAAGATCGAGGACGTGAGAAGATATTATCATATTTCCAGTGGAATCGAATTTAACTGGATATTAGCACTTACAAATTTTTATAAAACTCCTCTCTATCCTCATAATTAACCTTTTTGCCATTTTATAATAATTAGTAATAAAAAAGTTTTTTTAAAAATAAAATCTCGTAACAGATGGATGGCGCAAAACACAATTTTAACTTTTTTGCCGGAAAAGTTACGCAACTCGTTTTTTATTGTAATTATTGTTATTTTTTTAACTTTTTAAGAAAATTTTGTTTTTAAAATAGAATAATCGATTCTAACTACGTTAAGGTCTACCAATAACGAAATTAATCTAAATTTGATAACTAAGCACCCCAAATTTATCTTATTATACGAGAAGCACCGATCAAAATTATTCTTGTAATCAGTTTATTAGGAAAAGCATTTATTGTATATGGTTACAAATTAATTTATCTCTGTTTTTTTCCGTAGATAATTTATATTAGTTTGAAACTGATGAACATATTTCATAAATTATCCCTGAAAAAACTGTATGAGTAGATCTTGTTTTAGTATTCGCTTGTCTTTCATTCTTTGGAGGAGTCGTGTAATGGGAATGAGAAGTTCGATTTGGTTAATCTAGCACAAGTACACAAGTGCCACAAGATCTTAGTCTATACATAACTCTTATCTGACAGGTCCGTGGTTAATCTTGAGTTATGTCAACGTAACAGTTCTTTATCTATTCATTCTTTTATTTAACACCAAATCACTTATTCATTAATTGGAAACATGCTTTATTATTAATACAATAAATATTGCTTAAACTATATTTTTTAAATTTTGTTTTATTAAAATCAATTGCGCTCAAATTTTCTATTGGAGTTCCAAATTTTGCCTACGTAGGACTATTTTTATCATTTATAAGTGGGCTCTAGGGACAAATTTGGCACGAGGGTCGTAGTTTGCAACATAAAAATGCCTTAAATGAGAGATAAAACTAAGATTTTTACACTTATCTTAATAAAATATATGGTAAAATTCTAATTAAAGTGTAATTTTCGTTAAAATATGTTGTAGGAAACTTAAAGTGGATAAATTTTTTATATTAGATGGAACTTTACCAAAATTCCTTGTAATATATTGTGGACTTTTATAGCGTAACAAAAGTTTCTATAAAGAAAGAGAGAATATAAACAACTGAAAAATACTAAAAAATTCACATTTTTTATATCACGTTATATTATTTATAAAGAATAAATAAATAATTTTCACATAAATCAATTGAAGATAAGATAGAAATCGTTAATCAGACTGAAACTTTACCTAAAAATACTTCTTACTTTACAAATAAATATTGTATAAATGCATATTGTTATTTCTTCTTAATTGAAATAATAATAAAAGCAACAATAGAATTCTTTTAAAAATATAATTATAATTATCTCAGTTTTAATTATATTTATCTGATATCATAATAATGATGTTTATGATATTTGTAGCCGAGTTTTAATGAATGTAAAATAATTTTTGTTACAAAATTCATTTTAAATGAAAGTAATATAAAAGTTGCACTTCGTTGAAGCATTAAAAGAAGTTTCTCTTAATGTAAGAAATTGTGAAGTGATAAGATATACAATCTACAGTTGGGAAATTTATATAAATATTCATGTTTTTCTCTATTTAAAATGAAAAATTACTAGAGAAATCAACGAAATTATTCATAATAGCCTCAGTATTGATGTTTTGTACTTAGTTTGAAAGAAATCCGGACACTTGGAAAAGATTTGTGTTGACATTTAATTATTCATTTGAAGATTCACATGGTTGAATAATTAAACGACAACACAAGTATAAGCGGGAAAATATTATAAATACACTTTATTTTCTTTAAAATTAATGCGTAAAATTTCTAAAAATAATAGAAATTAAAATTTATATAATAAGTTTATGTCAAATTTTTTAAATATTAAAAAATTAGGAATGAAAAGTAATTTATTTTTAATATAGGCCTAATATAAAACATTAACTTGTGTCTCTCATAAAATTCATCTGCAAAGATTTCTTTATAGGGTCCAATTATAGATCTGTAGTGCCATGTTACCAATCAGCTAAGAATTTAGAAATATATATATTTCTTTTCTTCAATTCTTATGAAGTTATCTTGGTACATAAAAGCAAATAAAATAGAATTTTTATCTACTTATTTTCTCAAAACTCTTAGCATCAAAGAGCCTTTAAAATATTCGAATATCTTTAATTTAACCTGTTATGTATTTTAATATCGATTTTCAATTGTATAAAAGGTGACATTTACACATTTAAACGTTAAAAAAAGCTTCCATTATATCATTTTATTTATTAATATTTTTTAAATTTATCAATACTTTATCCGGATGCGGAAAAATTCTTAATAATTTGATGGTGATTATAACGATTTTTATTTAATTTTTCTCAAATTTTTGTATGTGTTATAGCAATTAAAGAAGGAATATATGTTAGTATTTTTTTTAAATATAAAATCAGGTAAAATAAATAAATTATATCGATTTACGATAGAATCGATAGAATCTTGTACATGTAATTTTAACGAAGTCTGATGTAAAAGTTATATTTTTCTGAAGTTTTTTCGGTATATCTCGGAGTTTTAGATTATATATTAGGCGATAGAAGCAGCAGAAAGGAGATAAAAATTCCAATAGAGAAATATATACTACTGCACTTTCTGGCAGAAAACTATGATTTAAATGTTGCATTACAAGCTGGCATCATGTCATATCGACAAAAGTGTCAAGTGACAAGTTCCCTTAGCAACTATACTTATCCTCCATAAGGTTATTCCGTTACTAAAATAAATTTAATCTTGTAAAGTTCCACCTCATTAAGAGTTAACAAACTTTACTTTTGTCTTTCTCATATTTTTACATTAAAGAACGAAGGAGATTCAAATAACAACTTTTAATTTTCTTTCTAAACAATTAATAAATTAATTAATTGAGAAAATTTAATAGTAAATTGATCTTCGAATTATAAGGTAAATTGTAATTATTACATATTTTTTTTTTAATGTTTATATTCATTTATACTCTTTCTATCCTAATTTAAGCGCGATAAATGGGATTAATAATTATTAATTTATAAATTTTTATAAATTAAATAAATCATATTAAAATTTAGTTATTCGTATAAATATATATTAAACTTAAATATGTAATAATTAACTTAAAAATAATAATAATACAGTTCAACCTCCGAATAGCGGACACTATCGGGAAGTTTATCCGTTAAGTAGGAGTGTTTGCTATTCGGGAGTGACCGTTAATAGAGGTTTGAATGCAAACATTTCTGAAAAATGTTATAATTGCTTACATTTTATTATAATCAATAAAACAATAAAAAAAATGCAAAAAGTGTGTGAAATATATATTTTATCTTTTTATCTTTTTATTTTATTTTATTTTATTTTAGGTAATCCCAGTTTGGTAAAAGTACACGAAAGATAATAAAATTTCAGAGAATACTTTATTCATTTAAGTATAGAATGTGAAAAGTGAAAATGTTACACAATATTGGAAAATCGCTCATGCAAAAAGGCACAAAGTCCTAGAAAAACAATTCTTTAAAACTTATATAAAACTCTAGTCAAAAAATTGCCTTAAGCCTCTACTTAAAACCATACAACGTTATAACTTTATAAAAACTGTTGAAATCAAAAATAAAAAATAAATAAAAAAAGTTATAGTGAAGTTTCTAAGAACAGGTTGACTGATATAGAAAACATCTCCTATGTCAAATATCAAGGCTGTTCGTTATAATTAAATTTTTTTTACCTCTCTTCCTTTTTATTTTCTCTACTTTCTAATAAGTTTCTAATGTGTTTGTTTATTACCTTCCAACTTCTTCTTCAAACTAGAATTTAAAAGCGATTAAAATGATTAAAAAAAAGTAAATCTCCATTTAAATTTCAACATGGAGAAAGCTAAACATTAAAAACAATCTCTCAAATGATCACAAGTCTTTGGATGAATAACTTAATTAAAATGTGAATATTTTAATGACATTAAAACTAATTATTGCACTTTAATTAATAATTGTATCTGTTAATTGACGTTAAGATCTTGTTTATTTAAAAGAAAATTTAATAAGGATCTATTTAAATAAGTCATTTTTAATATTTAAATCGAATTGATTAATTTATAACAGAGGTTTTCTTGTTTGTATAAATGTATCTTTTGTTTCGTGGGAGGTTTTAACCTCGAAACAAAGGTTTATTTTATTCACCGTTACATAAATATGTTAATTAATTTCTTCAATGTTTACAGAAATACTTAATACATGTATAAATAAATGGAGATTTGTATATTTAGCAATATCTGAAATGAAATCTCTACCCTTTAATGTCGTCCCCCACTTTCTAATGAGGTAGTTTAAACTATGGCTTTAATTCTAATTATGATAATTAAATTAATTGTATTTAATTCTAATGCTTTAATAAACGTACAGAAATCTTAAATTATTTAGCAAAATAATGTACGAATGTACATATTTTTCTTTGCAGATTCTTGCTGGCTGGAAGGGTGAAGTTATCGATTTGTCTAATGGAATCGTTTATCTCCAGAATAGAAGTAATTCCCATAAAATAAGCATAAAATAACGTATCGGTATGCAGAATACCACTTTGGAAATTTATGAAAATCTAACTGTTCTCTGGACTAACTACAGCGATGATGACATTAACCGGACGGAATATCTGCATATATTAATTTATAAGAATAATTCGTGGTATGTGAACGTCACAGAAAACATTCCTCCCAGAGATTTCAAAGTGCTTAATTTAGTTTTAGGTATTGTTTTAACTATGTTCTGTGTAGCCACCGTCTTTGGTAATATTTTAGTTATGGTGGCAGTGGCCAAAGAGCAATATCTTCATTCGGTTACTAACTATTTTATCGCTTCATTAGCTACTGCTGATTGTCTAGTGGGTGCCATAGTGATGCCATTTTCTGTGATCCTACAAGTTAGAGAAAACTCGTGGCCGTTTGGTAGAGACTTGTGTGACGTTTGGCATTCTTTTGATGTTCTTGGGAGCACCGCCTCAATATTGAATTTGTGTGTGATATCTTTAGACAGATACTGGGCAATAACGGATCCTATTTCTTATCCTAGAAGGATGACCACGACTAAAGCATGTGTTTTAATTGCTTTAGTATGGATTTGTTCGGCTTTGATATCATTCCCTGCAATTGCATGGTGGAGGGAAGTTACTATACTACCTGAAATTCCAAATCAATGCGAATTCACCGAAGACATTGGATATTTAGTATTTTCTTCGACCATTTCCTTCTATGGGCCTTTGACAGTTATGCTGTTCACTTACTACAGGATATACAGAGCAGCGGCTGCACAAACTCGCTGTCTTAAACTCGGAAAAAAACAGATACAATCTGTTAACGGAGAACACTGTACTTTTTTAACTCTTAGGATACATAGGGGAGGAATGTTGCAACCATCACACTATAAGAGTTCTTATGCGGATGAAGGAGACTATTCGGAAGACGGAGACGAAAGAGGTTCGTTGAGAGGTGTTCCTCGACACCTAAAGAACTTTTCTGTTAGTAGAAAATTAGCAAAGTTGGCAAAAGAAAGGAAAGCGGCTAAAACTTTAGCTATTGTTATGGGTGTCTTTATCTTATGTTGGCTTCCTTTTTTTGTAATTAACGTACTAATGGGAATTTGTCGGGAGAGGTGTCAAATTGATGCCACGTTAATGTCAACCGTCACGTGGTTAGGTTGGATCAATTCGGGAATGAATCCCGTCATTTACGCGTGTTGGAGCAGAGACTTTCGTAGAGCATTTGGAAAACTACTCTGCCCTCAATCTCTGAGGAAGAGACAAAGATACAGAGCGGAATTTTGCAAAACTATTCGTGAAGATGTCAGCATGTCAGGATTTAAATCACCTGCAACCGAAGAAGTTACTTTATGATTTTATTTATTTTTTTCAAAGCATTTCCTCTCTCCTTTAAAATGCACAATTATCAGAATTACAATTGCACTAGAATATTCTGCTGACAATACTTTAATGAAGTACATTTGGCAGACTATCAAAAGAAAACACTAATCAACCTCGAATTTTTACAATTATTTTTCCTATGAATAAATATTTTAAACCTAAACACGTTGGACCAATTGTTGAAATGGAAATTATCTACAAAATTCATAGTTTTAATTATAGATCTGTGAGTACTCTACAACTTAAATCCTATTATTCAATCAATTATCATGAACTGTGATTTAGATCAATGTAGGAACGATCTAGATCACAATTTTTAGATTGAAATTAATTAAAATTTTTATCAAAAAAATATGGATTAATAAATAGAAATCGTTTTAGCAATTGGCCCAAACAGTTTTAGACAGTATACAGTCGACCCCCCTATAAGATCATTGATTTTTCCGTTTTATCTGAATTACATGTTGTACGAGTCACTTAGATTTTACAAATACGTGTGCCGGACTGTGAATGGCTCACATATTTGTAAAATCTAAGTGACTCGTACAACATGTAATTCAGATAAAACGGAAAAATCAATGATCTTATAGGGGNTTTATTGAATTATATTTGGAATATTTTAGAACAAATCTTTATATATTATCGATTTATAAGTGTTACTCTCAATCTAAAGTTTGAAGAAAATAAAGAATAATTAAATATATATTTAATTTCATATAATTTTTACCGTTATATAATATAAAGTGCATTATTAATATACAATTTAACTCATAATTAATAGTTAATAATTAAAATTAATTAGTATTTTAAGCAAATAAATTATCTTTTGTTAATTTTCTGGTTGTAAACAACATAATTATTTACTTATGAATTTTTTAATATAGGCCTATGCAAAACTTAATTATAAATATTAATAATTAAGAAATATTACGAAATATTTGTTTATATTACTATATGTTTGAGATTAAATAACCGAAATTCTTTAATTATTCGGTTTTTTATCGATTTCTGGTTGGCTAATTTCTTAAATTAATATCTCTAAAAATTAAAAATTTAGGTTTTTTTTATGAAGAAAATCCAAAATTATATACAAATTTTACGAACAAAAATTATTGTGACAACGTCATAATGCCTATATTTTTAATTTATTTAACTTAAAATATGTGCTCTCCACTCAAATTAGTAATGTCTTGCCCCTGTAAATCATACTTTTCCCGATAGCAACAGAATCGTGTCGGTCATCTGTATAACTCTGTTCAGGGAAAATTTTCAATTGAAATCACGTGACGTTCAATTTAGACCGGAAGTCCATGTATACTTAATCGAGCACTCCTAAACCTATGCTTTCCATATCTGCTCTCGAATTTTATCTACCTAATACCATTCTCAAGAGTAAGGAAGGACAGACATATAGACAGACATTAGGTTTTTATAGGTCTATAATTTTTTCAAATTGCCGCCCAATAATTTTAATGTTAATTTACAGCACTTAAGAGCCTTTAAGTATATTTTTCTAACGGTACAAATTATAGTTGTTAATTAATTCTGCCTAAAGTTAAAAATTAAAATTAATAAATTAATGTTTTTCTCTGTTTATAATTATATTAAAAAGTTTTAATTTTTGTAAAGCAACACGTGGAAAAGGGGTGATGACTTTCGTAAGAACTTTCTGTCTATAACTGGTCTCTATTTAGCTATTTTAGGTATATCTATTTAGGTAATTAGACACGTGAAGAAATCCCTGTAAACTCCACGTGGCCTGGCCATTGTTGAGGCACGAACCCGTATTACAACAGTTGACAGAAAAAATAAACATGAAAAAATTTCAACAATAAATCCAACATTTTTAATCTCAGATGCTGTTTCAGTTTGTTAAAATAAGAATTCAGTTATGAAATAGCCGACAAAATAAACATTGACCCAGTTTTTTCTGTAAACAAATCGCTTTTCAAGCTGATTTTATCATCAAAATAATACACTTAAAACTCACTAAATAAGCAAAAAAATACAAAAAAAATCTACCTTTAAAATATTTTAAATTAAAATGAAATAGATATTGGTTGAAATATCAAAAATTATAATTAAATATTGATTTATTGAATTATATTTGGAATATTTTAGAACAAATCTTTATATATTATCGATTTATAAGTGTTACTCTCAATCTAAAGTTTGAAGAAAATAAAGAATAATTAAATATATATTTAATTTCATATAATTTTTACCGTTATATAATATAAAGTGCATTATTAATATACAATTTAACTCATAATTAATAGTTAATAATTAAAATTAATTAGTATTTTAAGCAAATAAATTATCTTTTGTTAATTTTCTGGTTGTAAACAACATAATTATTTACTTATGAATTTTTTAATATAGGCCTATGCAAAACTTAATTATAAATATTAATAATTAAGAAATATTACGAAATATTTGTTTATATTACTATATGTTTGAGATTAAATAACCGAAATTCTTTAATTATTCGGTTTTTTATCGATTTCTGGTTGGCTAATTTCTTAAATTAATATCTCTAAAAATTAAAAATTTAGGTTTTTTTTATGAAGAAAATCCAAAATTATATACAAATTTTACGAACAAAAATTATTGTGACAACGTCATAATGCCTATATTTTTAATTTATTTAACTTAAAATATGTGCTCTCCACTCAAATTAGTAATGTCTTGCCCCTGTAAATCATACTTTTCCCGATAGCAACAGAATCGTGTCGGTCATCTGTATAACTCTGTTCANTCTATCAATCAAATTCGGAATTACGTGATATATAGGAAATTCCATATATATAAAATATATATAAGCATTCAAGGTCAGGAGCTACCCTATTTATTTTCTTTCCGTTCATATCAAGGATCTTGTTAAATGCACAGTCAATAAATTTCTATTAAATACACAGCTTCCTTGACCCATGGGACATATTCCCCAAGGCTGGATAATCTATTGACACATTTGCAATCATTTATTGAGGAGAAAATAATACCAGAGGAAGTCTAATTAATTATTATGTGGAATTCCTTTGAAGCATTCTTTGATCTGTTATTTTTTTTAATAGGGATCCCATTGAAAAGGATTTATTTCAGTTGATGGATACTTCTTATCGAAAAATCCTTGTGAAGTATGATAAACTAAAGGAGTATCGAAATTGAAGACTTCTTTTGATGAATACTTGTTACGGAACATCCATTGATCAGTTCTAATAAATCCGATTTGATGAGAGTTTTTAGCCTTAGAACAAGTGATGCAAATTCATCTCTACAATTCTTTTCGAGTGTTTTTTCCGAAAGATTTCTCGTCGAATTTATATAATTGTAGATATTTCTTAGTTCTAACGTCAACAATACTGTTACGATTATTACTTTTTTAAAGACTTTCCGCTCTGTGGCACTAACAGGCCTATGTTTAGTGATCCCATTATAGGTTCGACCAGGTTCACAACGTTGTAAGCGGGTTGTAAGCGAAGGGTCCTCCTCTGGTATCATGTAAAAACTCCACAAATTATAACCTTAAAAGTGATTGAGATATGTAACCTTATATTTATTCTATAATCTACGTGTGAAAAAACTCCAAAAATTAAATAATGTAATTATTTCTTCTAAGCTTTGCCCCTAGACAATTTCTCGACATATCTAGGTGGACCACTCCCAAAAAATTCTTCAAGTTTTCGACCTATTCGGATTCAATCCCTAATAGGTTGGATGCCATCTTAACCTCTCGATTATCCGGCCATCATACACAATTATTACTATTACATTAATCGTGCTTACAGTTAATTATAGTGCATTTTTTTCTAATATTGACGATTATAGTTGTTTCGATGATAATACATTAAAACTCGAAGATGTATTTACAATTAATTACCCTAATTACAGTTTCTTGATAATAAAAATAAACTTTTTAAATAGTTTAGTGTAATAAATTAAACAAGATAAGAGGAATATGCAATCTGTAACCTTGTCTACTCTAAAAACAATTGCTGTTTTGTATGGGCTAGATGAAAGCAATTATTGTTAGTTGAATTTTTTCAATGATTGCTCTATGTTTTAATAAATAACAAAATAAACTTTTTTCTATAAAATAACATTTTTTAAAGTTTTTATTTGCAACTTTTTAAAAAGTTTTAATACATTCAATATTCGTTTAAAGTCGTGTTTAAGCATAAAATTACTTTTAACAACACTGAATTCTAAGTATTTTTGGCTTGTGAAATCATCGGACTTTGACTCATAAAATTGTCTGTAATAGATCTAGTTTCTATTAAGCTACTTAGTTTCCAATAATTCTCCTTAATTTCGAATATTTTCATCCTGTTTAAAACGAGGTAGATACTATTTTTAGTATTATTCAACCCACTCGAGTGGCTTATATCTTCTAAAAATGCTACTCCTTCGTCGGATTTTCTCCATTCTTTCTAACTGAACACCACTCCATCACAAATGACCTACTTTGTAAAATGCCCGACTTTTCCTACAAAACAGTATCTTTAAAGATTTCCTCCTGAAACGATAGTTCCTAAAACCTAATTTTAAATAATACATATTTACTAGATTACCCAATTCTATCCAATTTATACAGTTTTAAAATAAAGAAAATTGGCTTTGAACTAATGACCTTCTGCATAAATTTAACTTTTCGTGGATGAAAATACCGTTTTATTGTTTTTATTCTGAAAAAGAAAAAGAAAAATTATAGTTTGAAAGCCAATTTATGTACAGATTTACGCTTAAAAATCCATACAAAGCAATAATTTAAGTTACAATAAAATGCTTTTTACAATTACATTAATACACATTAAGTAATCGCTTGCTATATACAAACACTTTAATAATTTTTAAGCTTTTATATTAATATATTTAGAATATTTTTTATATTTTTCTTTGTTTGTTTCAAAATTAATTTTTATTTCCTATATCTTACAACACCCTTGCCTTCCAGCGCCCTGTTAAGTCTTTGCGCTCTCAGCGGCGCTCCCTTAAGGGCTTAATGATTTTTAAAGACAGCTATACCCTTCTTTAGGAATCACTACCTAGTGGAATTACTACCTTTTGTGAGTACTACCTACCTACATATCTAATGGAATTACTACATATTACCTAGAGGATTTATTACCTTAGTGAAATTACTAGTAGCATAACTACCTCTTTAGGAATCACTGGTTTAGTGAATAAATTGTTGTATTTGTATTAACTATTTCTGTAGTATCTAGTTCTATTATAAATACAGTAGAACCTCGATTATCCGCCCT